AAGTCGTACTAACCAAAACTAACAAATAAAACAAAAGATAATCACGACAGAAAAAATTTACGAGAAGTGTAATGAAAAATTTAATTATGTAAGCAGCTGACTTTTTCGGCAATTGGTCACTCTTTCTCTTAGGGTTTCTATAATCTCTGGAGGATCAAATTCATAGACTTCATTTTTTGTGTGACCTCAAAATCCAATGGCGAAAGCCATTTAAAATTTTTCTTCATTGGAATGGGGAATACCGGTTATTTCTAACAGGTTTCAAAAATTTGTTAGTAACATTTACGATATTAAAACATAACTTTGATACTTTGAACTATTTAACGTCAAAGTCAGAGACCTTAGATGGAAAAAAGGTGACATGGCCTACTTATAACATAAATATAATTGAGACTTAATTTTTAGAAGTGTGATACAATCTTTCGTTCATTTTTCAGACATCACTGAACTGGAAATTGTACGCTCTCTACAAAAATCGAAAAATTCAATGTGGCCGCCATAAGAAATATGAAAGTTAAGGCGGGTTGCGAGATAGCAAAACACGTTCGAGATATACACGCTATCCTACACGTCTTAAAAAAGTGTCTGAACAGTGTCACATTTTGACAGCTGTCAATTTAACCGTTTTGGATTTACCGACGACAAAACAGATCCGCCATTTTCGGTTTTTCGCCGATATTTTCGAAACCAGGTGACCGATTGTAAATCTGAAACCAGTTATCAAATGGAATGAGTTTCTCTTAAAACTTTCCTCATTTAACCTTTGTATCTAAAAAATAGGGCCGGATAGTTATTTTTTTAACGAAGCACGCTGTATTCGATATTTCATGTTCTCCAAATATGCTGCAAAGAAATTTATTACTGGGAAATCGGGGTGTGAGTGAGAGTCAGTCAAAAAGTGAAACGGTACAACGCGGAAATACCAAAAAATCAACTAATATAAGTAACAGACGTACATTATCAGTAATATTTCAATAGGTAGTGATTTAATTTTTAATTTTTGAACGAAATAAATTTTCAGTTGCGTCGAGTATTACGCGGGGCAACTTTCAATTTCACCATCGAGCTTAACGCACCTGAATGATTTTGGTTGATTTAAAAATGTGATATACTCAAAATATTCCAAAAAGCTGCCCATTGAAAATAACTCACATTTTAACTATATTCTTGTCCATAGCAGCACCTTTTCGTCATATATTGACAACTAAAAACTTCAGTCGTTATTTAGGTGTCAGGTGATAGCACAGCGTTAGCGAGAGTTCGGCACACGGAGAACTCTTAATTGATAAAGTTAATAAAAGTTTACTTACGGGTTTTAGTCTAGGCGACTCTATTTCCTGTCGTGTTTAGCGCTTTAATATTGGATAATTTCGTTAAAGTCCTCGTCCGCTTTCCAAAGATAAACAAGTGTCCTTCCGCATTCCGCGTCTCTTCGTGGCGACGGTTATTCTACCCAAAAGCCCCCCGTTAAGCAGCTATGCGACAATTATCTGCGCCCCGACAGCGGAAGATATACGCGCGCCCCTGCCCCGGCTTTATCAAAATTTCTCTCTTGACGCAAGAAACATGGCAGGATTGTCATACGTCGACCGGCGGTAGAGACGGAGGGGTCTCGCAGATTTATCTCGGCCGTATTTCACCCAGGAGAACGCCGAATAGTCGCGCTTTGCGACTTAGGAGCGTATTATAAACGAAAAAGGAATTATGCGGATGCCTCATAACTTTTGAAAAGTGGCCGGTCGTCTGAATCTGCCTCCAGAGACCAAGTAGTTTCTCGTCTGCGCTTGCTCTTGTTTGGATTCAACTTATAGGCCGAATATGTACACCCTTATAAGATGGTCAACATGGCACAACTACATCTTCAGAAATGTAAATATCTGAGAAAAAGGTTTTAACTCGTTGTTCGGTTTTAACTCGCAACAAATGTAACAAACATTTAAAGCTTATATCAAGTGTGACCATGAAATCCATGCTGAATCTTTTGTTATTTGGCCTCACGGTCAAGTATCCCTCCAATATTTTCTTAACCATTTAAACTCTATGTACATAAACATACGTTTTATCACTGAATTAGAAGCTAATAATAACCTCACAATCTTAGATAATCTTATTAATAGAAAATCAGACCTAACTTTCAGTTTACAGTAACCTACGCGCGCGCACCGATACCCTAATGCACCGTCACATCACTATCCTTCCCAAAAATCATCGGTTATCGACTCGCTTGTAAAATTATCTCAACCCGAATCAGTGTAACCAGAATTAAAACACCTTAAATATTTTTCATATAAGAGATATTATCACAAAATACAATTCACAACAACCTCCCAAAAAAAATGTGTCCGAAAGCAACCCCAGATTTGCCACTGTGGTTCTTCTTTATCTTGAAAACATTACTTAAGAACTTAATTAAGAAATATATTTTTTCTACTCCCGTCTGTAAAATACCTAATTACACGCCTGTCTAGCGTGCGGGAGGCGTCACTTTTCCACGTCAGTTTCCTTTTCCACGAATGCAAGCCACTTCGGACATTTCCGGGATTTTACCGCACTGATTTGGGAGCAATTGGATGTTTTCGGGGATATTTCGCACGCTAACGGTCGTAGAAAAAGTATAGTATGCAACACGTTCGGTAAACTTTTTAACTCATTTATTAAACACTCGCTCCCCTCGTATCAAATAAACTTGTGAGTCAAATGACGTTTACCGCACTTGTTGCATTATATACTATTAAAATCATATTGCCCGCTTGTCCAAAAATCTCTCAACAACTTCGATCCATCAAATCCGTTTCAGACACCGGGAGTTTACAGCATTCCATGCATATACTACAGAGAATACATTGGAGAGACAGGACGCAAAATGTCAACTAAGCTAAAAGAACATGAAGGAGCCTTAAGATTATGACAGCAGTTGCCCAACACAAGTCATGAAACCAAACATCAAATATTATTAGACCAAACTAAAATTCTCGCAGATAATCAATTTTCCTACCACAGAAAAATTCGAGCTGCACAAGCAATCTGTAAGCCACCAAACAATTTTAACAGCAACTCAGTTCTTTTAGCCACATTGGAATCAGTCATCCGAGACTCTCTTATTTCGCTTCGGCCCCTTCAAACAGTATATAACAGAATAAAATACACACTTAAGCTCTGAAGAAGCGACAAGTTTGATTCATCAACAATCGACGCAAGAGGCATCCAAAAGATTTGTAAACAATATTATGTACATTTTGCGTATGCCACCATCCATTTGAATATTAACTGCAAATGCAAGCATTCAACATTTTTCATAATAAGGTGTCTCCAGATGTGAGAGAAGGAACATTCTATTTTGGATACACAATGTTTATAGATTTGTATTCGCAAGGCTTAGCCTAGAGAGCGAACTTAGGGTAGGAGACAACATAAATAGTTTGTGCCTACAGTAGTGCTGTTAAATCTTTTCTTACAAACCTTAGCAGCATGGCAATTTAAAAAATATCTAATCTAACATATCTCGAAATTAAATGAAACTATGCATTAGAAATACGTGTTTTCCAAGAATTTTATAAATAATTATTATATTGCGTTTATAATACACTTCATCCTTGACATAACTTTTTAATTAATTAATAACAATTGCTAATCTTGATTATAAAGTCTCATTAACATTTCATAATATACAGGGTTAGTAAAAAGTACCGACACGCTTAAATATCTCGAAAACTGCTAAAGCTGTTGTCAGATTTACCACTTTTTCATTTTTTTTTAATAATTACTGACCTACGGCAACACCGCTTAAATATATAAATATATCCAAAACTGCGAAAGCTGGAACGATAAAATTCAATACTTGGGGGTTTCGTACATTCCCAATTTAAGAATGCCAACGGCAATGTTGTCAGACTTCTCACTTTTGCGTTACACGTCATAATTTTGTAATTTTCAAGGGAATGCTCTATTTATTTTTGTTGCAAAGAATTGCGCATGTCGAATTTAGTTAGATCTCATAGTTTTAAGTTTTTTAAAAATTACTGAGCTTCAGCAACTCCGCTTTTTCAGTAAAAATTAATGGACCGCTTAAATATCAATCATAATTTCATTTTTTTTTTAATAATAACTGACCTACGGCAACACCGCCTTTTCAGTAAAAAGTAACGGAACGCTTAAATATATCCAGAACTGCCAAAGCTGGAACGATAAAATTCAGCCCTGGGATTTTGTACAAACAGAATTCAAAACCAAGGCAATGTTGTCAGACTCTTGCCACTTTTGCGTTGCACGTCATAATTTTGTTATTTTCAAGCGATTGCTCTATTTATTTTTGTTGCAATGAATTGCTCATGTCAAATTTATTAGTGTCTCATACCGCTTTATCAGAAAAAATTAAAGGAACGCTTAAATATTTCCAAAACTGCCAAAGCTGGAATTCAAAAATGCTAGCCGTAATGTTGTGGCAACCTCTCACAAATACACTGCTTAAATTTTCTATCTTTAAAAAACCTCCAAAGTTCTGAGATGTTTTTTTTACAACAACACGTACAACACTGTTGTCATCATTTTTGATTTTTAACGTTCTAACTTTGGCAGCTTTAAAATATCTTAATTACGACATGCAACGTAAAAGTGGTAAATCTGACAACAATGTCGTTGGCATACTAGATTCTGCATGTTCAAAAACTCCCAGGTATTTTTATTTATCGTTCCGGCTTTGGCAGTTTTGCAGATATTTAAGCGTTCCGGTACTTTTTACCAACCCCGTAGCAATATAATAGAAAATAAGAAGAAAACGCGCATAACGGAAACGAGAGAGTACACACCATCCAGCTTATCAAAATAAATAATCCTTATCAGATTCGTGTAAATATCGATGAGTAAGGTTCGTCGAAAAGGTAAAAATAACGCCTTCGTAGGCGGTAATCGATAAAGACGGCGACACTGAAAGCGGCAAAACGAATTTCAAGCATCGTTTTTCAATAAAGCACCGGCCATCCTTTTTAAACAGACGAACTTACCCATCCCATGACGTTGGTAAAGAGCATTACATATTTAATAACGGCAATTTGATTCTCGAGTTTCAATATATTCCCCTCTCCCTCGCCGTCACCTTTACCGGCCATGTTTTATGCAAACTCGTCGGGAAACACCAAATCGGATACGAAAGCAGCACTGAATTCCTAATCGAAACCGAAACCCGCACTTTCACAAAGGCTTACACCGAAACTCACTGAACTGTGGCGGATTAATTTCTGGCCGCTTCACACCTATATTTTCGAGAGATAAGATAAAATTATTTATCGCCGCCTGATTCATCTGTCTCTTTTCTTTTATCCGTCGCTATTTTACTATCCTCGGAATTAAGTGACTAACGCCACAAATATTTTTTTTGATAACGAATGTGGAACACACGATCCTCTAGGTTTGCATCAGGGGCCATAATCACTCTGTCTTCCACCATTAGTTATTATTTGTAGAAAGTATCTTTATTTCTATTATTTATAAAATATCATTTGTGTCTCAAATCAGAAAATGGAGATGACTTCCTTTGAAAAAGCTGGTGCCATCTAAAGAATAAGAAAAATCAGTTTTCCTTTAATCTCATATAGATGATAAAACTAGCAGAACTTGAACATTACATAATTCTTTTTGTTGGGTAGTGGATTTTATTCATGAAATTTAAAAATTCATTGTATAGAAAAACGTTGAAATCAATAAATATTACTAATAAATGTTGTCAAGTTATTAATTATAGGCGCTATTTAAATAATTTAAATAATATTTCACGCTACTATATCGATTGCAATGCGTCAATGTTAGTCAATCAATGAAGGCAAGCTTTGCTTGGTCGGTGCTCAATTGGCACTTGAAATACACCGTGAATACTCGACTTGTCACTTGACCTTGAAATCTCGTCACTTCATTCAGCAGTTTACACCATGTGCGCGCACAGAATAAGTCTACGTCTTTGCGAAAGTGTATTATAGTCTGCAGGAATGTGATCAAAAAAGTAACCAACAACAGGGACATGGACAGTTTAAAGATAAAATGCCGGATAGTTTTCAGATTAATATAGCTAGCTGGGTGAAAATTTTGATTGAGTTTATTTAACTTAAGTGTTTCTCACCTTCCCTACGGCTGTAACTTTTTTGACATCCGTTTATTTCGAACGAACCTTGAAAAGAAAAACGCAAAGTCTACGCTGAGTCTGCCAAACCTTAAGGAATGTCAACCCGTATTAAAAAGCTGTACGGCTATTGCGCCTGCCAGATCCGGGCGGAAAGGAAAATAAATTATTTCCTTTCGATTATGCAACATACTGAATCGACCGGACGACCATCCATTTTGATGATTGTTTTTCGAAATTGAAAATGGCGAGAAACGCTGCCCTGTCGCTTGATTTTCTGCAAAGAAGAAAAGAGAGGATAAAATAATTCTCTGTCTGAACGAGAATTGGTGCATAATTTTTCCGAAAATAGATTACTTTAACAGGCCATATTAATTTCAAACAATAATAATAACAAAAAATAGAACCTAAAAATAATTGGTTATTCTTGAAGGATATTTAACACATACTAGGTTTTAAATTGTTTCAGTAAATGACTTCAAAGTTATTTCAGAAGCAAAACTAACCAGATTTTAGGTAGATTAAAATAATGGGTGTTTTTTTTTCGATGTATAGAACTTTAAGTTAGCATTACTGTTTAAGATGGCGACCGATTTAACAGCTGTCAAGTGATTTATTCTCAGTTTGGTTTGGCAATTCATTCATGAATAGTGCGGAATACGTCGACAAAATCGTCCATCAGAGTAGTTAATGGAACGTTCTCGCACCACGTTTACTCTTATTGATAACTCGCATCCCCAGAGACGCCGTAGCATTGAGGAAGAACCGAATGAGTCCATCCGCCATCGAACATACGAATTGGATCTGTGTCCATCCACTTTATGGAAGATTTTGCGGAAGTATCTTGGTTTACGTGCTTACAAAATCCAACTCGTGCAAGAATTGAAGCCAAACGATCATCAAGTAAGGCGTAGATTCGTCGAATGCTGCCGAAACTGCCGCATTTGGAGCGAAGCTAATCCTCAAATATATGTCGAAACACCGTTACATCCAGAAAAACTGACTGTGCGCTTTATAGGCTGGTGGAATCATTGGTCCGTACTTCTTCAAAAGCGATGATGGCCAGAACGTTACAGTCAATGGTGATCGGTATAGAGCTATGATTAATAACTCTTTCAATCCTGAATTGAATAACCATGATGTCCAGGAGATGTGGTTTCAACAAGACGGCGCAACATGTCACACAGCTCGTGCCACAATCGATTTATTGAAAGACACGTTTGGTTACCGCCTAATTTCACATTTTGGACCTGTGAATTGGCCTCCAAGATCTTGTGATTTAATACCGCTAGACTACTTTCTGTGGGGCTATGTAAAGTCATTGGTCTATGACTACATCCGCGCCAGCCGTGGCGGTCATATGCCAGAAATCATATTTAAAATGTAATGCCACAGGATTATCTTTCGGATATATAAAATTCATGTCAATCGAATAATCCATCGTTGTTTTATTGCAACTTAAAAAAAGCACGCCTTATAACCAGAAAAAAAAGAAAATTTTCCTCCTAATTTCAGATAAAAGCTTGTAACTTTGAAATCATAATCTTTCTGATTGTCCTACTCCACACCAGGGTTGTTGTTTTTTTATTTTACAACAATTTGAATTCAAAATTCCAACATCACAATGTCAAAATGGGGAATCAATAAAAAAAAATCTCTGAACATCTCCGATCTGTCAAAGACCGAATCTAGTTTGAGGCACCCGGAGTTTACAGCATTCCATGCATACGCGGCCAAGAATAATTTGGGTAGGCCGGACGAAAAATAACAACTAGGCTCAAAGAACATGAAGGAGCCTTAAGACTACGAAAGATAAAGTCATCAGCAGTGGTCGAACACAGTCACGCAAACGGACATCAAATTTAATTCGGTAAAACTAATGTTTTTGCATATAATCAATTCTTCTACCAACGACAAGAGAGAATCTATCAAAATCTATAAGCAACCAAACAATATTAATCGCGACTCAAGTCGTTCACCAATATGGGAATCAGTCATCCGAGGCAATGTCTCTCCTTTAGTCCGCCTCAAACAATTTATAAAGAAGTACAGAGTAGAATGCGAGCAAGTTTCAGCTCTGAAGAAGGCAACGGCATGATTGGCGAAACGTCAGCAAGTTCGATTCAACAACAACCGACGCAGAAATCCAGAAGTTTTATAATAATAGTCCACCAAATGAGGATGTTAATTAGACGAATTTCGAAAACGTCTGCCATGATAATCAAAAATCCTGTTTGACATCAATTATTCACACCAACTTCTGGAATTGACAATATCTCTGTGGTTTATTATCAGGGTACTACCATATGTGGCCACAAGGGTTTCATTTTAATTTCGACGTCACAACTCGGTCCGGCTCGAATGAATTTATTAAGTGTAAACAAGACCTGGATGGGAAAAAACAGTTCGTAGATAATTCCCTTTGAACCCTGCTGCGGGCTCTCAGTAAAATTTTCTCCAAAAGTTGGAAAGCAAACAGCCAGGAGACTTTTTAATTTTCTAGCACCGAGGCACCGGGGAAAATAAAATTTTCGCTAGGTTTTCCGCGAAAATTGCCTGCGCCTTGTAATTAAAACTGCCAACGATGTGCACAGGATTAATACCTAATATCCCTCAGGTATTAAACTACCATCCGATTACTCGTCCTAGATTGATTACCGTGGTCGCGCCGTTATTAAAACCCTATGAGAAAATATCGAAAAATTTCTCAATCACTTTGACGTGCGGCGCTTTTCGTAAATTAGTTTCCGGAGAGTCTAAGAATTTTTTTTCCGCGCTTCACAAAGGAGTAATTTGCTCGCCGAACGATTTCGAATAATAAACTTCGAATAAAGAAAAAAAAGGGAAGTAATACGGGACAAAGTTAGGGAAAGAAACTGTTCTTCCAATTCGGTTTTGTTCGCGCCGCTTTTTGTCTTTAAACGACAATGAAATTAATTCTATTGATTGGAGAAGTTTTCCCTCTTCCCGCGACCGGATTCACTTCCAAACGAACGGGCTCTCTAATTTATCATTGTTTGAATTTGTTTATTCCCCTTTTTCAATCGGCAGTCTGTCCTCGTTCCCGACCTTTTTCGGATAACGAAGTTTTGTCGAAGCCGCGTGGGTTTGTATTGAAATTTATCGGTGATCAAATCAGAAGCGCGATCATTGCCGTTGACTGCGTGGATCAATTTGTCGGATTTCGAATATGAATTCCAATAAACATAACTAATTTTTTTAGGTTGATTACTCTTTGGGGCCGCAAATTAATGAGGATAGTTACGTCGGCTACTTATTTTCGAGAGCGCGTGCTTTCGCAGTGGTATAGCGTTCGGCTTTTAGTTATCTATACAATTTCTATTAGGGTTTCCAGAATCTGGCTAGCATCAAAACTTTTGTGAAGGATTTAATAAGCTGATTTTAATAGAAAAATGCTTCAAAATTGACTCTCACCATCTCGATTTTATGTTTTTTCATTTACGTTTGAGTTAAAGCATAGTAATTCCACAAATCCGAAATATCAATGAAAATTTATTCATTTGTAGATTAAAACAAACTTTTAGTATATATATATTTTTTTATTATCTTGACAAATGTAATAATAACTTTATCTCCATAAACAGATGTTGAACCACCGCCATTTTTATATTTATGAAATGACAAGCCTTTATAAGCTAATCATTTCGTTTGAGTCTATTTTGTTAAAAGAAAGTAAAGGAACTGATAACGTAAGTATCATCTAATTTTAGCTTCAGTTTCTAAACTTTTGGATTCCTCCTGCATCGTTTTTTGCTGGGTCGAACTTGCTAACGTTTCGCTAATCATCCTGTGGGCTTGACAGTTTCAGTCAAGCTCTGAACAAGCCAACAGGATGATTGGCCAAACGTCAGCAAAAACCGACGCAGGAGGAATCCAGAAGTTTTGTAAAAAGTAAAAAATTCACAATTTTTCATTAATAACTTTTCTGCATTTGGCAGAACTATACATACCTACGTGCATTCCAAGTTATTGTGCTTTTGCTTCGTATGAGAAGTATTTTTAAATAAATAAAATAAATTTAACAAACTGATGTCGGGGCAGTCACATAACAAAGTGGTATGGAGATAATCCTTTCTATTTTTCAAGCTCATCTTGAGTGGTATCGTTGGCAAATAAAATTAGGCAGCTTTTGGAATTACAAATTTATTCAAAGTAAGTGCACAAATTTTATTACAGGAAATAGAAAACGCATCTAATGGTGCGTCATTTAATATAAATACTAAGTCTATGTACACATGAATTCAGAGGGCCCTTAGATGTTCAACATAATGCACGCAAATAATAGAATGAAGTCGAGGAAATACACGGAGTCAGTAACTCCGCCGGACGAATAATAGTTACTGACTCTTTATGCAATATGCTATATGTATTGTAAACAAAGGGGGCCCTTACAACTGGGCTCGTAGTATTGGATAGTGCCACAGACGTCTAAAAATATATGCACAGAAACCTCTACGTTATTTTGTTCAGTTAAACGTTTAACGTTAATGTTACACTTTTCACTATTACTAGTTTTTTATAACCGGGCGAGGCTGATAATGGTACGCCACTGGACTGAAATTTGACAGTTGTTTGCGGCATTGTTATCCTGGAAGCTTGTAAATTTATCGTAATCCTTCACACGGATTTCTAGAAGTCTGTGAGCGGCACCGTCGTCAGAGAAGAGATGAATTATATACACAAATATGAGTGAGTAAATGGAGGTTTATATATTACAAGAGCGTCCGCCGTCATCGTAAAATGTCCATCGCGATCACTTTCACACGCGTCAATAAATATCGATTAAACTAGACACCTGCGTTCATCCCACGAAAGGATATCCGGGATACGGGGCCGGGAAATATCCCGGAAAAGCGGCCGTCGGTGCCACCGGTACCGATGTCGTCATGTAGGTGGTCAATAGCGTCGGCACGACCGTCGTCGAGAACACGGTCGTTTGGGCTGTCCTCGCGCCGAACGTCAGTTTCAGCACCTTGCTGTTCGTTTGCGTCACCATCGTGCTGTGGACGACCGGTGATGACGTCACCGTGAACTGCGGCTGCAGTTGTGGTTGGGGCGCTGCCGGAAACAGTGGATTAATGGGATTGATAGGATTGATGGGCGGGGGAAACTGGGGCAGTGGTGGCAATGCGGGAGCGATCGTGCTCGTGCCGAACTCGTAGTCGGTTTTAGTAAAAGTGCCTTTGACTTTGGATATCGTGCTCAGGACCGTGTTTTGTCCCTGTGTAACGGGCAACACGTGCGTTTCGTACAACGTTTCCACTTTGATAACCGGCTTTGATGTGGTTATTACTTGGCCCTGGGCGGCGGCCGCCGGGTTTAGTAGTCTTAAAAGGGCCAGCTGCTGCAATTGCTCCGGGTTCAGGTTGGGCTGCGGTTGAGGCTCGTTTACCTGCGAGAAAATAAACAAATTGGCGCTTCTTGCAGGTGAGACAGGAAAAAGGCGCCAATCCTGATTGACAGAAAAGGGAGTTTCAAACTTTATGTAAAACGGATTTTCAGTTTGCGTCTTTCATATTCAAACTCATGCGCATGGACGATTCTACGTGTAAGCAAAATATGCGTCGCACCAGGGTGCTTCCGTATAAGGGCGCCATAATTTACGCAATATTTAAACAACAATGAAAATGTACGTAGACTTTTGTAAACTGCTATATGGTAAGATATTGCGATACGACGATTCCATTTTTGTTGGCACGCAATCGGCAAATTCAGTGAACCCCAAGGTTGTTCCATTCAGTGCAGTTTTTTCCACGGTGGACGTTACTTATTGTGTCTATCATATATTCAAGGGTATGGGTGTATTATTAGAGATCGCTTTGCTTAAACTTTCTGAAAGTACCTTTTCTTATTTTTCAATAAAGCAAAATAATATAATAATTTGTTTTAATAGTTATCAAAGAAAATAAATCTGAAAATGAAAATAAAAAACAAAGACTTGAAAAAAGAAGCTGAAAGAGAAGCAATTAAAGTATTATCATATCTGGAGCATATGAAATTAAGATATTTATGGACACAAATTTAAATATTTGCCGGGAAGATGATTAATTTAGATTATGGGGTTCCAAATTTGACCATTACTATAAAAATTTTACTCGCACTTCCTTTTCCGTAGCTATTACTGAACGCTCCTTTTCGAAATTGAAGTTAATAAACACTATTTGAGATTAAAATCATTTTTTTATTTGAGGGGTGTCAATTAGAAGGAGCACACTGCTTATGGGAAATCCATTTTTTCCTACCACTGCTTAGGATATTACTTTATCTGCAATTAATTTTTATGTGTTTTGCTAGGAAATTGCGTTACAAAGTGTCAGTTAAGGATTCACCCATGGATGAAGCAAAATGCTCTTTACTGCAAGATTTTTTAGTATCTGTTGCTAAACCATATTAATAATAAATACAGTATCAAATTTTTTACCAACACGGAACTTAATCAGTCACTTTAGATTATATTCTGTTTTTATCTGGAATCTAAGCTGCTGAGTAATACCTTTTCAAAAATGCAGAAAAGAAACTACTAGTTCTCAAATAACACAGACATGTTAACCGCACGTCATAGGAAGAGGTTGCAAAAGAATCGATCACTTACCTGCAACTGGCTTTGACTCTTTTTGCTTGCTTTCAACTGTTGCTCAATCTTCGACTTGTCTACATCAGGGAAGTTAAAGTCTGACCCTATCTGTGACAAGTCCAGATCGGCAGGCAATATTCTCTTGGGATGCCCGTCCTCATCCTGCTCGTTGTTATCGCCAAACTCGAGCTCTAAGTGCAGCTCAGAGCCGGCCTCATCCAATCGACTGTTGAACTCTTTTAGCGTCTTGCTCGGAATGAACTGATAGGCTTCCATCGGTGGCAAAGTTTTGGTGGCAGTCACCAGTCTCGTTATAAGATAAGTTTGCACCAAAGTGGAACTTTTGGTATCGTTAACGCTACGTATCACCGGTAAAATATGGGTCTTGTACATCGTCTGCGTCGTGCTGAACGTTTCGGTGAGCGTTTCGAGAGGCGGCGTCTCCGTGTCCGACGCAAGATAAATGGGCGGCAACGTCGCGATGCTCGAGTCTAAAAAGTTGTTATCTTTCGCGTAATTGCTCGTTGTCGCGAGAATGTTCTCTGTGAGGGGCTCCATCGCAACGCCCGTTGACGTCGGCTCCACGCTTTCCGAATAGGTCTTCTCGAACGTCGACGTCACCGTTATGAATCGCGTGTTCTTCACGTTTCCCACCTGTAACAACGACGTGATTAACTACGTCGTTAAATTTACACCAAAATCAACGCAACTAATAATATTAAAATTAAAAGCTCCACGTCGAAGGCAATCGCCCTAATTTGTATTAGTTAGCAATCCATTATTATTCTCCTTTGATATGGATTACAGAATTTGATAAGTGGTTTACCGGATATATCCAGAATTCAATGGGCGTGGACACCAAAAGGAAGGTAAGCTCATAAAAAAGAATTGGGTAAGACCACCAAAATTTATTACGAAGTCGGAGCTGCTGAGTTGAAGATCAGTGAGCCTACTAAATAAAATTGCAGCATTTGCGAGTTAGCAAAATCAAAAGCTTCTACGAATAAAAACCTTGCGTTGTACATATTAAGTTTCATTTACTATTAAAAGTTGGACATCAGCGACGCCGACTCTGAAAAACCTCCAAAAGACAAGCAATTATTTTGTATCAGAAATTAAAAAAATAACCTTATTTTTTATAAGTTGCAAAGACTGAAATTATTAAAGACATTTCAGACAATGACAAAAAATTACAAAGAAATATTTGATATAGAAGAAAAAATCCTGTGTTTAGTATATTACCAGCAAAATAATGTGGACGCTAGATAGAATTCTTTTGGTAAACCTGTGGTGCATACATATTCGTGATTAAGATAAAACCTCAGGTATAAATAACTTTTAATTTGTATCTATCAATTTGAAATAAAAGAAAAACAATTATTTTGCAATCTGATTCGATTAAGGAATAGCATCTGGGAATTGGCACTTTTAGGACCATGAATGACATGAAGCCTCAATGGTCTTGGAAATTTTTTTTGACCATTTTGGAAACTTGGATCGGTCATGACACGGAGAAAATTTCTCATTTGTCTCACCATTTTCTACCAAGAAATAGTTTGCCGACAGGATGAATACAATTTTCGATTTCATTCTTCAATATAAAACAGTAATTTTCCCCTGATATTGTTAGGTCAGATCAACTTATGGTTTATTGTTAGAAGCAGGAAATCAGAATACAAGAATCAGTTTCTTGCATACCCGAAGACTGCAGAAACTGAAGAAACATTTTTTTATTTAGTTATACAAAATTTCAGACAATGAAATTATAAATTTGTTGCAATAATAATTAATCTAGCAGTTAAATTATTCTTTCTATTGGAGAAATCCGTATTAGTTGAGTATTATCAACAAACGAGGTGTTTGGTCATAGAGGCTGGCTATCCTGCCTCAATCTCTGGATATTAAACAGTCAATTGAGTATTTTCCCATCCATAAGTTAGCTTCAAAGCAATGACTTTAATTTTTAAAGTTAAACAACCGTTTCAATCACCTCATATAAACATTCTCTTTAACATGTTTAATTTTATTTTAAAAACTATTTTTGTCGCTAGCGTCACCAAGCGCCTTTGCCCTTGGAAATGGCGGCGTCGTAATAATAACGGCGCCGAAGTACATGGCTTTATTAAAAACATGGCGGCGACGATAATTTGATCCGGCGAAATTTTTATATAAAATTGAGGCTATTTACTTTTACATTTATCCGGAATGACGTGTGTTACTGCACGTGAAATTTCTCATAAGGTATTTAAATTGCTCGCGACGTATCAGCTCTAAACTTCCCGTCTTGTTAGAGACTACATGTTTACCCGAAGTTAGTCTGTAGGAGGCAAGCGAATGGCATCAATTACACTTAGACTTGTATATAGACCGGTGCCGGATTAACTAATGAACAAAGGAAGAAACTGATTGAAGAATCCACAGACTAACCAACTAATTAAACTAAACTTACTAAAACTAACCAGAACTAATCAAAACTATAAAGGTTATTGGGCCGACAACACTTGTTTACATCATAGCTATTGGAACCGACCAATTTTACCACTTGCTAGCTCAATTTGATAGTCAAAACACTCTAGAAATCAGGCTTGACTAGATGGTATTTTATTATTATTATTGTTATCACATATTAGTAGACTAAATCGTTTACTTCCATTTTTAAATAATTACTCAATCATCACGACTCCAACTTGCAAGTTGGAATAGTTTAAGAATTTAATAAACAGATAGTACCAATTCGTTAATGTTAATCTTTGGTCCAAACTCCAAGAGAAATATAAAAAAAAATCACAACCTCAATCTTTGGTCCACACTCCAAGGTATTGAACCTGTTCTCGTTGAAATATTTTCGATAAAATATCTAATACTAATAATTCATGAAGTAGGATGACGAACAAATTGGACGAGTGTAATACACCACTGCAATAGCAAATCCTCGTAAACCAAATTCACACAGTTCTTAGTGTATTTATTGACGAAATAGAATTTCTAATTTTCACCCATTTTTGCACCAATTTCGTAATACCAACTATGTAAAATTAATGAAAAGAAAGGTTATGTTATTATTAATTAATAAACGCTGTTTTTCCATTGTGGATTTTAAATAATAACAGGAATTCTGTCAAATTTAAGGCGAGTTTACGCTACTGTACGTAGTTGGGCTAGTACATGTTGAAATTAATAAACCTTCTTTATGGTGTTTTTAAAATCTTATGACTTAAAAACACCAGTGCAGTGAGAGCAAGTGAGTGCAATCTACTGATATCTGATGGAGGTCTGCCCCAACGCAGTAATGTCAGTCTAGATTTACCTGAAAACTTTGGAGTCATGAGAATCTGACTTCAATATAAGTCGACCAGACTCTGTCGGTTCTCCTACCCTTGAGGTTTCACACATAGCTGACGAATTCCAAGTACGAAAAGAAAAAAAAACAGATTCAAATGCAAACTTCAAAGGCAATTGCCATTATGCAAAAGGCCAATTCCGAAAATAAAACAAACAGCAAACAAAAAGAATACGAACGTAAACAAATGGCAGAACAAGAATCTGGAAAAGCCTACAAGACAGAAACATTGACAATGAACTATTAAGAGTAATCAAATGTTTATACAACGAAACAAGAAATTGTGTAATAAGTAAGAACATGAGATCAAAGGCATTTTTATAGCACAAGAAGGAGTGAGACAGGGGGGTAGTTTGAACCCTTTACTATTCATAACTTCTATGGACGATCTAATTAGCATGGTCAAAAGACCTTTACGTTAGATATCGACAGCTAGAGCGTATCAACATATCGCAATGTGCCTTCGCCTATGATATAACGATCATAGCCGGAAGGATCTGGAGGAAAATCTAAATAATTGGGATACTTACAAAAATGGAACGAAAATGAACATAAATAAAAGCAAAGTTATGGCAGCGTCAAATGGAAAAGAGAAATTAGAGTAGAGAATACGTGGGACACTAATAGAACAAGTTAGTAGCTTCCAGTACTTGGAAATTATGTTCGAAGAAACATGAGGACAGGACACAGAATTAAATAATAGAATAGAAAAGCCAAATATGCATTGAGTAAGGGGCTCATAAATAAATAAAAGGAAATGAAAGTTTACAAAACAATTTACAGACCAACCCTTACATATGGCTCCGAATTTTGGACAAGAGCAAAATTGGAGCAGCAGAAATGAAATACTTGAGGAGGGTGAAAGGAATAACTAGAATCCATAGAAGAATTCATTGAAAAGAAACAACTTGGCTGGTGGGGTCATTTACAGAGATTCTTTCGATGTAAGGTAGCAAAAAATTATGAGCGGCAGGCAGGCAGGCAGCATTTCTTTTTCTAATTTAAATAAAATATAATAAATAAAAATAATAATAAAACGTTATTTTTCATCAGCACAACAGGTCGCTGCAGGTTTAAACTAACCAAAATATACTCAAAATATCCAGAAAAACAAATTTCGCATAGTAAAATTTAAAATTTTCAACAGCGCCTTATTGACAGAACTTCTCCTTTGATCGTCAGGTCAAAAGTAAAATCATGGTCGACTAGTGAATATTACATCAGACCATGGAATATTAACAGTTTGATGAAACATCAAATGATACTGAGACCGATACTAATCCACTTGTTAAACCGTGGTTACCCCAATAGCTAACCTAACCCTTTTGTTTTACTTTGCTGATAATTAACCATTCAAATACAAACTGTGCAAATCTAGGAGATGTCAAACAACAAAACCAAAGATGTTTTCGAAAGACGAATTAAATGATGATTATAGATTATAGATCGTTTCACCAAAATTCACTCGGCTCCATACGAGATGAGTTGAACACATAAGACATGACGAAATTTTTATTTTGTTTTCTGGTTTTAGGTTTAGAACGGAAAATATATTACGAATATAATTGACCCGTTACTTGTTTGAAACCAATCCAGTATGATTCTATTTTTTTTAGGTAAACATTGGAGGAATAAAAATAAACAAATAAGAATTTTTTAAACATGAAATAATTTTGAAATAAAACTGTAACAATTTAAAAAAGAAACACACATTCTATGGTGGTAGAAATTCTGTAGAATTGTTTGAAATGTTTGCTACCAAAAGATCACTTCCCATATAGATTAAGGCATAACCATAGAAGACTGATTAAATGCCAGTTTCTCCATATTCTTTCCGAATGCAACTCTTAAAATGCTCCATTATAGAATTAGCTGCATCTTTTTCATATAAAAATGGTTGTAAACGATTGGTGTGAAATGTGTTTCGGCTGAAAGTTAATACACATCATTGAATTCATTGCAATAATCTGCATCACAGACCACAAAACCTAGGTTGGCGTTACAAGAAAACTGTTTTTCTAAAGCCCCAGAAAGCACGCCAATGATAAAATTTGCGGCGGAAAACGCCCTACGGCGGTACTTCATTTTCGCCGCATTACCTGGAAAGTATAGGGTGACTTGATTGTGGCAATTTCGTAATATACGTCCTTAAAATCCGGCGGCGTAGAAATTTCAACTTTAATAGTTTCCAGGGGCAACGTCGGGCTATCCACTTTATTTTCAGTCGCACTCTCGTCGTCTATAATTGTGGCGACGGATTCTGATCCCTCCAAGCTATCCTCGTCTGATCTGGCCTGCGGCGCGACGTCGTTGCTCATTTGAACCTGGAACGAGATCATTATGCGGTTAGTGCCTCGTGTTTTGTACACCGTGTTTCGTGATAAGGGAGCCACGGAACTAAAAATGTACTGATTATATAGTAATAGCTGAATCACCTAAACGTAATCAAAAGATCTCGTGGAAGCAACTCAATCTCTCCAGTTTTATGAACCGTCCAAATTAGCGTTTAAGGCTTTTGGTACGCACTTTCTTGAAGATCCTTGTGTATGCCCATTTTAGAAACTAAAAAATAATGTGCAACAGCTTTTTGATCTTTCCTTTCTTTGTTTCTTTCTAACACAGTTAAAAAGGAAAAGTGTTGAAGGTCTTCACATTAAAGCAAGAACGAATTGTTGCCGGTGAAGAGGCTGACGTTGAGAGAAGGTAGTTAGACGAAGGCAACTTTTAAGCTTTGAGAAGATTTCGTACGCGCTAGATGATTATTTCCCCCATCTTTATTTTTTGGTGAATGCTGAGATGAATTGGTTACAGCTACACAACGAATATCCTCATCGAAAATTGGGATGTTCTCCTTTGATACCACGTTAAACAAAGGAAATGAGTTCGTCACTTAAAGTTGCACAGAGTTGGAACAAGCAACGATTAATGTAGGATTTCTTTGGACATACATGGTGGACGTATAAAGATTAGATGATTTTGCGGTTCAAAGCAAAAGTGTATTGGCATGGGGCGTTATTTTTATGCAGGTCCGATCACCTTACTTCTTATCAAAGGCTAGCTGACAACTTAGTGACATATCGGTGAATTGTCACAACTTCACCCACAAACCATCCCAAGAGGCTAACCTTTGTGTTTTCTAATTGAATGTCAATATTTAGGGGGGCGATTTTTGGGTCCATTTTCAAAGGAAAACTTCATATGAACATATGTCCTAAAAGTCTTAACTTTTGAGATACAGGGTGGTAAAGTTTTCAATAATAAAATATATTTTTTTAATATCTGTAATACCAATTTAGTTATTTGAGTGAAATTTTGCACACATGTATTATGTTTCAAGAATTGGAATTTCATCTGTTTATTTTGGCAGACATTGATGGTACGCCACTGATTTCTCCTAAAATAAAGATTATCCTCACAATCTCCAATCATTTCTAAAGAAATTTAATTCCTTGATTTAATTAAATCAATGAAATTAAAAAATCCTCTTCTGTACATGGTCATAACCATATCGTTAAAAAGACATCATGCAGAGAAATTAGTTTTTATTTTTAAACCTTTCAACGGGCTAAAAAAAAAATATGAGATCAAATCTGCTCATCAATGAATGCAAATGTCATTATTTTTTTTTAAGGGAAATCAGTGGGGCGCCACTCACTGTCTATGAACAAATATTATTTTGGTTAATTACGTCACCGCAACACTGGTTAAATCGGGAACTTTTTTTTTGAAAGGACATTCCTTTTTACTTTTACATGACATAACATCCAAATAAGACAAATAATTAACGACTCTTTAAAAAAAACAATACCTACAATTCATAATTTTTAACAAAATTGTCTGTTAATAAATTAATAACAATTTTTTTTAAAGTAAAACATAGAAACTAGATAAGTTGTTCAAAGTGTCCTCCACCTTGAAGGATACACGCTTCAGCCCTTTTCATCACATTGCCGCGCACTCTTTGAACTGCTTCTTCAATTTCCGGAGTTATTGCAGTCCGATGGGAACCGTTTAAATGATTACTTGCCCTCAGAGTAACTGTTTTAGTCAACCTTCTATGTGGGGTATTTAAAGAAAAATGTGGGACACTAAATAATGCCTCTTGCTATATAGAACATGTCTGCCAAATTTCATTAAAATATATAAAGTGGTATTACAGATATTAGAAATATACATATTTTTTTGTAAACCTTGCCACCTTGTATCTCAAAAGTTAAGACGTTCATATGAAGTTTTCTTTTAAAAATGGACCGAAAATCACATCCTTAATTATTGACATTCAATTAGAAAGCACCTTGTATAAGCAAAAACTCTATACTGGCGATACAGCCCGCGAAAAGCCAGCTTTAGCGCCTGCCCAGTCTTAGAGGGAATTAGCATCGATAAACTTTGAATGGTGCAAAAATGGCATCTAAATTTAACAAAAAAAGGCGTAAGTGTATTACCGGAACCAGCGGTTGGGCTTCGGGCGATGCAGACGAAACGGTCGTCTCCACAGCTTCGTTATTGTTGCCCGTCTCCTCCTCGTTTTGCTTTCGAATAATTGTTACTCGAGGCTTGGGGGTGGTCTTGTACTGCCATCTGCCCGGCGATCTGCAATAATATAATTAGCCCCATTAGCAAAATTGCCGCGCAGACGACGAAGTGGCGTTCGCCAGAGGCGAATTGTTCTGGCAATCGGTATCGGTCAGGGATCGATTAGCCCTGTCGGATGCGGAAATTTTATTACTATTGATCGATCTATTAAGAGCAGTGGGGCAGCGAGGACTTCATTTGGTTGGAGGACGGGTTGTAACTGAGATTGTAACCAGTCAACTTGCACATCTTATCAAACAACCAATCCAACCAATCCAACCAATATTTACTCTCGTCTGAATACTTCATTCACGAACATTAGAACCATATCCTACTACAGATATAGAGACAATGCCTACGCTGATAAACCAGTTGCTAAAATATCAAATCCCAGTGAGCCAAAAAAATCAGTTTTGAGATAGAGAGGCAGGCACATTTACCAACAAATATCTACTTCAGTAAATTTGGCTAAAATCATTGAAGACTGTCTGGTTAAGTTATTGAATGACAATCGCCACAATGAAGATAGGAGATAAGCTACCTGTTTGGCTCTTTTAGATTTTAGTAAAGCTTTCAACACGATCAATCGCCATATGTAGTTTACAAAACTTCATTATTTCTGGAACAATATCTGAGCAATAGTTCGCATTGTGTTGAAGTTAAAAAGCAATTTAATCTAGAAAAATCTAACTATACCCCAAGGTTCTATTTTGGGACCTTTATTGTTTAGTTTTTATGTAGCAGACATGAATGAATGTATAAAATATTCAGTGATGCAACAGTATGCGGAAGATACCCAAATATACATTTCTTTTTTACGGAGGACTTAAAACGTTCTCTAATAAACTTTGATCTTGACTTGAAATGTGTATCTGTCTATTCTATGGCCTTTCAAACTCAATACAAATAATTGTATCCAAAAATAGAAATTTGTTTTCAGTGTTCTTCAAAAATTCAGACAAGAAGCATAGTAACAAATTTAATTAAGTTCTCATCATTCAAATTGATTCAAATAGAAGTGGGGATCAAATGATACCTCATTAAAATGAGTTTTTAATTCCTTATGGATTTCTGTTTAGATAGGCTAATAAAGAAAATATGGTATTTTGGGTCATCTAATCACATTACGGTCCCAACTATAGTAACACATACGCTAACTGACGATGATACTAACTATTGATTATGTCATCCATTGTTTTATCCCGTTGATAATTCAAAGCACCATATTTTCCCGTATTTAAACAGAAGAATTAAAACCCTCAAGTATCACTTGACGACCTCCACTCCCATTTCACACAATTTGTACGATGTACAATCAGGTAATTGAAAGTGTCTTTTGCGGGAAAACATCCATCTCACAAAAACAAAGTTTGGATTTTGGATTCTGGTTAAAAATTCGGTGTGTTTTCGAAGGGCCATCAGGTATAATCATCTCGTCTAATGTTTCAGGTTCCCAGCTACGTATTTAACGGCTTGTTTTTAGTATGTCAATTTATGGTACGGGTCAGACTGCAAGCAACCCTTAACCTGTTATTACTCCCATAACAATATCTCGTCGTGCGAGCTGAGTGCCCGTAATGGAGGGTTACTTCGAACATAATATCGATCGAGATGTTCAGATAATCGAGGCGCAAATGTAATTCTTCTACTAAATTTCCAACCAAATACATATCCAAACACTGGGTCGAATCAAAATACCCGATTTAACTCGGGCAAATAGAAGTACTACTACTAACCTGTTCAACTTAAACTTGTACAAGCTTGTAGAGGCAGCACCGTGATCGATCGGCGAAGCTTGCACCTTGGGCTTGTATCCTCTTCTGCTGAAGCCGCCGTTGTTATTGCTGGTGGTAGTCTCGGGATGAACGGTTGCGACCTTGGTTTGTTTCTTTCTACTGGTAAATCTTCTGGCAGATGACGGGGCCGGAGTCGGCTCATCGCTGTACGCATATTGGGTTGTTGTAGTAGCGACGGATTTTGCGCCAGACTTGCGACCACCACGACCATGCTTTTGAGTTCTTTGTGAGGAAGGCGTGTTTTGTCTGTATGTATTTACACGTGTTAGTGCATACGGTGTGAGTTTGTAGACCATTTGTTTGTACGCATGCCTGTATCATGCTCAATTTTTGATATTAATATAACTTTTCTTACCCAAGTATCAACACCTCATAAATAAATGTTTAAGGCAAAATTAGTGTTGAGACTTACATGTTAGATAGAAAGAGTGACGTTAGAAACAAGTAGGAAAAAAAAACGAGAAAAAACAGCTGATTTAGATCATGCAACTATAGCTAAGAAGATCTATGGTGGTGGGTTATTTTATACAATGTGTCTCAGAATCTCTTCTCTATTATACCTACAGCAGATTAAATAGGGAAAGTTTTAGAAGAAACGTACTGAATTTGATAACCTGCCAACAGATTTAAGATCGGTAAATTTCGTCTATCGCCAGTAAATACAAAACGGTTCAATCGACAGCTGACACTTTTTTTTTTAACGTAAAATTTCCAAAAATCTCGAGACAAAGAGTTTTGAACATATTTAGAAACATAAACGCAAATTGACTTGCAAAAGTTGTACGAAAAAAGGTCAATAAAAATGTTTCGATGTAATTGGCGCCATTTTGCAAATCTGTGTGTTACATTAGATGTATATTGTTCAAATTTTGTTGGTTTTGTAAGCGTTTCAAATGTTAATTAAATTAACGAAGACTTTTCTGGCTTTTTCTTTTTAAAAAACGTTCATGTTCTATGGTGACCATAAGAAAAATTAAAGTTAAGGAGGGTTTGCGAAATAACAAAAGACGATTGAGATATGCAATAAAGTGTTTGAACTAGGTTACACTTTGGTAGCTGTCAATTTAACCGCTTTGGATTTACTGGCGAAAAACGAAATCCGCCCGTTTCGGTTTTTCGTCGGTATTTAAGAAACCAAACCACCGATGGTAAATCTGAAGCCGGTTAGCCACACAGTTTACTCTAAAACATTGCTCATTTAACCTTCGCTATAGGTACAATGGAAGCTTATCACACATTTTAATTGGTTAAAAAATACAAAATGTCTGTAGTTTAATTGACTTTGACTTTGCAGATAAATCTTCATCATAAAGTATTTATGGCGGTCCTGAATAGAATGAGATATTACAAACTATTACATCGTCTCAAATTCTGATTAATTTCTGATAATATATCAGCAGTGCATACAAGAGAAATAAGTTTTAAAAGTTTAAAAGTTTGGTAACTTTTTGACATTATGTTTATATTTTGAAGATGACAAGTTTTGGTTAGTTAGATAAATGGTTTCTATTTATATTCTTTTTTTTTAATATTTTTATTATTACAAAGAAAGGTATCTTAAACAGACTGTTGCTCAGCCATTGCAAACTTAATGTAAACAAGTTTGATAACACTGACTTACATTGCTAACCAAAACCAACAACTGACTAAAAAATTGAATATTTAATAAGTACTTTAGTTGTCTTAGCTAGCTTTAAGAATCAAAACTTAATTTTAAGCTGCTAGAATATTAGTGGCTAACCATTGCATAGATAAGGATCAATTGCCAACTTGACAACTCGTACTAAACTGTTGGTTTATTTGCAAAACTAGTTCCTAGTAATTAGCTTCATCGCAAGCTGCACATTGTAACAACCTTTAACTTAGATGTTATCGATTGTTCGCTTACTTGTTGCTCCTTACATGAGCCATTTATGTAGATGCTTTTCGCTTCTCACTTACTTGCTGCTCCTATTCGGAGTCCTGCTACCCTTGTGGCTCTTTTTGAACGTAGCCTGTGACGGTTCCCTGTCGATTCTCTGTTCGGGTACGTCCGCCTCCTTTTGCCTGTTCTTAAATCTCTTCGCGGGTTTCCTCGTGCCTTTGATGGCGTTGTGAGCGCCGAAAGAATCTACGGCCGAGCTTTCATCGTAATACGCAGCCGCAGCTGGTGTAGGTTCCAGATGTTGCCTGTGCTGTTTCGAGGCCTTGTTTAACGTCGGGGCGGCAGTTTTCAAAATCCTTACGCTGGGGCTGGGATTAATTTTTCCCTTGGGCTGACTGTAAACATGCGAAGTGCTCTGCAACACTTGAGCGTATTTCCCCGATATATAAGTCCCGATGACGCTCGTCTCGTAAGAGGTCATCACGCCGTCTTTTACGACCATCCCTTCGATTTTCGAGACTAATCCTGTGGGTTGCTGGGGGTGCGAGGGTTTGTTTTTCGGAGGTTCGATGGCGGACGCGCGCGGTTTCAAATGGAATTTCGAACTCGAAGGTTTCAGGTTGATCAGTTTGTAAGTTTCCTCGACGAATTCGGATGGTTGACGAGAAAGGAAATCGTATTCGGGTTCGCCGATGTTGTTGCCGACGATTAAAGCCGGTTCGTCGTCAGATTTTACTTGAACCACGCTAGAAGTTTCCTTCTTGGTCGTGAGCGGCAAAGTTTTCGACGGTTCGCTGACCACTTCGACTTTGGTGATGACGTTTTGAGTTATTTTTGGTGCCGCTTCCGTTACCACTTCCACTTTGGTTATTATTTTGGGTTCGGGTTTCGCTTCGACGATGTTAATTTTTGTCGCGACCGACGGTTTAATTTCCAATTTCTTATCGGGAGGTTTGAAGGAGGACTCGACATGCACCACAGACGAGATCTTTTCAGCTGTCGTTTTTGCGACGGCAACGACGACTTGAGGTTTACTCGGTTTAATGTTCACTTCGTCTCGCGCTTGAACCGCCGCGGGTTTGGTGTCGATGATTGAGTTCGACGATACGTCCTTAGTTTGTTCTGGAAAGAGGAGATTGAAAAAGATTGTCGGGTTAATCTAGGCGGGTAAATTGGGTGTCAATGTAGAAATGACACGGTCACGCGCTTGTGACGAATTAATGGCGAAGAAAAACCCGAACCTATTCGGAATATAAACCGAATAGGCGATGTATGTTGCCAATGCGTATGCTCGACACAGGACGAATTCAAAATATTTAGATAAGAAATTGCCAAATAAAGACCGCTTAGGAAAATGATTAAAATACTCATATTGGCGAAGGAGAAATATTTTTACAAAAATTTGTATGAAACCCAGAGTGCGGAATATACAGTGTTTTGTGTTTTAAAAAAAGCATAATGAACAGTTTGTTCTGTCCGACTTAAATAAAATAAAATTTGTTTAGTTGAATTTACATACGAATTAGAGCTGGCGGGTTGAAACTTTAATTAATCTGAAACTTCTTAGTTTAAATGCATCATTAAAAATTATCTATAATTTAATTTGTTATGTACTGTCTAGTCTTTTTACTAGACTACACCTCAGCCAATCAAAAAAAAAAAGCAATAAATTTAATAGTTAAAATTCGTTCCGTACGTACATAATTTTGCGTTAGTATTCCAAATGCATTGTTATTATATTTTAAAGAACGTTCAATTAAGTAACAGCACCGATAGAGCAATCACTGCCAATAGTAACTGACGTCTAAAGCCGATTTGAGTCCTAAGATTTTACCGTTTGTAGTAAAATTGCAAAACAGTTTAGAAAAAACACTAGTTTTATGTATGCACAGGATTTTTCGAGCATGTTTTTGCATCCTATCTACAGGGACACCTAATCAACTGACCAAAATTTCAGGTTTTTCATTGTTGATCGAAAATGTAAAAAAAAATGTATACCATACCCCGAATTTTCTTTTATTTAACATTAATCTGAAAATTTTTGCAAATCTGAAGATAAATAGTTCAGTCAATTTTGTTGACAAAACTCTTTGTGAGTAGGATAATAAGATATCAGAAATCAACCATGACACGTCGAGTAATTCATAACCTCAAACTTTTTTTCTTTAATTTCCGTATTTAAAAACAAACCTGTGGCCGGGGCCGCGCTCTGCGGCGAGAAAATCATCACGGTGTTGCCGATGGTAGTGGTGAAATCCAAGAAACCGTATACAGTCTGCGTGACAAGGTTGTCATTCTTGATCACCGGCGTTGCCACAACCTGCAACGCGGGATTTACGAACACGGGGCCGTCAGCGCCTGTCGCCAAGTCACCTGGAAAGAAAAAAACTCACGTTACTCAAACCCATTGTTGTCAACATCAGCTCTCGCATTATCCACAAAACTAAAAAAAATCATAATTTAAGATAATTCGACTTTCAATTACAGTTTTATTCATCCTTCCTATGACACCCATGAATTGGGAGAATAGAACCGGGAAAAAAGCTGATTACTGAATATAAAATATTTTACTCGCTCCTACTCGTATACCAAGAATGGCAAACCATTTACCTGTCAGTGTCAGTCACGATAATGCACGATATCATCGACAAGAAATGAAGAAATTATCAATTCTTTGAAATTGTCAAAAATTACAAAACAAACTTGGCATATGATAGAAACAAAATAATTGCTGAAATGGGTCATTAAGTTTTAATATTACCTCCTTACCATGGTATGTTTAATACTATTGATTTGGTGTGGGCTCAGTGCAAAATATTTTTTATTAAAATATTGTAAGTGATGCAAGGCACGATGATACGATGTATGGAAGGCAGCTGTTCAGATAGTTACCATAGAAAATGACATCAGTTGCATAACACATGCAGAAAATATAATAAAAGGATAGTGAGAAAAAGGGAATGCATTGATTAGATAGATATTTAGGGCAGAACAAAATCTGTTCAAGTGGAATAATCTATTTTATTCTGTGGGCCAAAATGAATGGTTTTATTGGTGTGATTAGTATGACCTTCATGGTATATTTCAACTTAAGAAAATTAAATGAACCCTCACGTCGACTGGGCGGAGTGTTTCCCTCGATAAATTTTAAGATTGTTTTTGAAAATAACTGTATACCACTAGGCATATATTAAAATTCCACACTACTTTCAATCATAGTAAGAGGTGATATGGGCGTTCGACGAAAATAATAAAATATGATCAGATAACTTTCTAATCTTACGTCGAATACTTACTCTGAGACATTAAATTCTACTCAAAACGTTATATCAGGAAGTTATAAAATAAAAAGACTTTAGAGAGTACTTTAAAATAAACTTTCAAAATAGGCTTGTATTTGAATATTGTATGGATCATACTGTTGCGAATGTTGCTATTTTCTATCTATCTATAGAAAATGGTATACCCTTCTACGCCGCGTTGTGCTCGAGGTAGGTGAAGGGACAACTTAAAATACGCTTCACCCGGCAAAACATTTTTCACTGCTCGCATAAACACTGATCGCGAAAACTAATAACGAATTCAAGAAAGTTGGTTGGCACGTAAGTAAACGAAAGTTTTGGAAGTAAAGACTTTCGTTCAAACAGTTGCCGTATTGTTTCACCTGAAGGTAATTAAATTTTTATTTCGAGCGAAACGGTCTGTGTGAGCTTGAGTTGCCTGCCGTTGGCGCCTTTATTTTGCCCCGCCCCCGAGCCGAATCTTTTTTGAGATTGTTTTAAGAGGAGAAAATTACTGATTCTGTGTTAAAAATACAAATAAAAATAAAAGCTTATATAGTCCTATATGAAATCTTGTAATACCTTTTTCATGATATTTAAATGCAAGAGTTGCCTGAAGTGTTCAAATCTTATATCAACAAATGGGCAAAACATATTTTTGTTGTATTTATGTGTATTAATTCAACATTAATTTTTAATTCCAAGTAATATGCAGTGAAAATTTGAACGTGCCTCATATGAATTTTTCCGAAATTTTTATATTAATTTTGCAAACATCTGGAAAGTTTTAGACATGAATAAATAATCCGGCTTATTTGTTTGTTTACTCTTGAAATATTAAATTTAAAATTATAGCGATTTACAAAATACATGACACAATACAAGGAAAGAAAACTGATTTCAGCGACAAGAAGAAATAACAATCAGAACGACAACAGAAGAGCTCGTCACCCGTTTTCTTGACGATATTGTTGGAGGAAACAGTGGGGTACTGAGAACATTATTAATTTTTATAATTAATTATAAATAAATATTAATGTTCTTTTTTGTTTATTTTATGATTTCTATTTGTTTTGATTTATCACCAATAAAATTTCAGCGAGCTTTTAGTCTAAGCCTTAAACTTGATCTTTGACATTGAAAACATAACTTCTTTATAATTTTTTTGTTACCTATTGTTTCTGAAGAACATTAAAAAACAGACCACTTCGAATTTGTCTTTAGTGGTCCATGTAATTAATCTGATATACAAATAATCCGGAATGAAGCCCTGAGATTTCCACCCTTAACCCTGATCTATACGTGGTGTTTTTTTAAATGCTGATTGTTCTTTGTTCCTGTGCGTCAGTTCCAAACGTTATAAAACATTTGACACAGATATCCATCTTCCCCGCTCTGTTATCAATCTATTAATTATAAAAGTTTCGCGGTAGCTATATATACACGGAATTCTACTTAAACGTATTAAAAATGACTGAATACCCTGCCAAGGTCGTTCATCATCCCTTACGTCAAAATGCTGCATGACTGTATAAAAGTCGGGAAACCTGTATGTGAATAGAGCGATATATACGTGCGAACAAAAAATGATCAATTAATTTTAATTTAGAGTCGAAATGTTATCAAAAGTTTCCACCGCCCTTGTAAGCCTATTTCTGGCCGAATGAAAGATATTGCACAATTAAAACAAATGAAAAGCGAAAAAGCCACACTAATAAAAGGAAATACGGGTCGTAAACATAAGTATATTTTTTAGTTAAATAGTTAAACAACGCTGTAATGCCCCAATGGGCTTATTATTATTTCAATCCCTGGCACATCATGTTGTCGTATATTTACTGGGAAGGAAACCATAATTAACTATTAATGTTTGTTTAAATTCAGTAAAACAATCGTTGCCGTCTAATCACGTAAACAAGTTCAATCCCTTAGTTGCTGACCAAACACCACCATTTGCAGCGACTGACAATTTCAATAAAATGTCCATGTTTTCAGGTATTGTCAACAATAACCGTTAATGTGTGTCTACAGTTTAATTATACTTGATGGCGGCCCTAGTAAAGTAAGTAAAGTATTTTTGTAATACTACTGATAAAGTTCAATATCTTGTAAGTATAAATGTTCAGTATAATCTGCAGCTCTATGTTTGGTATTATTCTCTAAGGCGGTGAAACAAAGTAACCCAAAATATAATATGTATTCAGCTGCTGCATTCTGCCTATTCCATCAAGGTGTACCCGCAATTGCCTCATACTTTTTCCTTCCATCTCTATTACGTTCAGCTAGCTTCTGCAATATTTTGACGTATTTCTGAACGAGGATCATTTTTTACAGCAGAACATTAATGGCTGACTGTCAGCCTCAGAGAAAAATTAATTAAACGCCATAATTGTCCATACCATGGGCAGTGACTATTCCATTTTTGCCATTGCTCTAACTCGAAGTGAATAATTACATAACTTTAAATACATTTCTCTGTTACCATCATTCAATAGGGAAAAGGTATGAATTTAGCAGCCAAAATTACAAAACAAGCAAATGACCAGTATCGGCGGAGATTCTTAAAACTTGTATAGGGAGCAAAAATGAAAGTTGTCCTCTATGAACACTACGGTGTGTCAAAAAAATGTTTTTTTTTTGGACCTGACGCACAAAACTGGTTGCTAGTTACCTCCCGAAAGTACTACTAATATTAAGGGCTAATACGTGGTAAGGTACTTTCTAGAGGGAACTAGCCATTGTGCTGGTGATTTTTTACGCTTTTTTTTTGGAATTTTTTGCCATTTTTTATGACATCGAAGAATTATTTTCACTACATTACCAGCACCAGAAGTCGGAATATTATATTTTCCGTAGTTTGATATCTTGATCAGTTACATTTTTAGCACTTTATTTCAGGGAATATTTTAGGAAATTAATTTGTTGAAAAAATACACACATAACCTCTTTTAATTCATTAATTTAATTAAATATTTAATTTAATTAATTTATTTCTTAATTCATATTAAATAATTATGGTAATTATGTTAAAACTTAGAAGACACAACGCGGAAGCTCCAAAAACTTGTACGCAATATAGGAATATAAGAGGCGGCAGAGAAACGATCTAAAATCACAAGCACGAAATCCCCAGATAAAAAAAAAATAAATTATAATTTTGCGAAAAAAATGGGTTCTATTTTAAGAAATATTCAATTATGATCCTCAATTGTGAATAAAGTAAAAAAATATACTCCCAAACAAATGGTCAATAATAAGAACTGTCATTTTATCAAAGTAAACTCTATTTTTTATAAATATTGCGAAAAGTCGTCAATTTAATGCATCAATTGAAAATATCTATTGAAAACTATTAATATAATTATCCATTAGGACTCCAAATATCTTCAAAATGGATCGAGTAATCGATAAACCACAGGAGACCTTTTTGTAGAGCGTTAAATTTGCTATTAGAATAATTGACAACACTTGACGATAATTATTTTTCAGTCAATAACCAAATTCAGAACAAAAAGTTATTTTCTTCATTCTTCAATTCAATTCTTTAACCTCGAATATCTTTGAAATAATATGATTATTTACATATTTCTACATACATAAACCGTTGACCAAAATTCTTGAAACAAAATTACCAGTGAAAGAGGTTATGTGCGTATTTTTTCACCAATTTCCTGAAATATTCCGTACTAAAAATGTAGCAAGTTATCGAACTAGGGAAAAAAAATTATATTCCGACTTCTGGTGGTTCTGGAGGATAATCTTCCCATTAATATTAAAAGTACATACGTGGTAAGTACATTCTAGAGGTAACTAGCAACTAAAAACCAAAAAAACAACAAAAAAAAATAAATGAGATTTTTTTTACCTATACTCTTGAACACATTTTCATTAAGAATTGAAATTGTGTAAATTTCGATTAAGGTGGAAAGAAAATATTATCAGTATCAGTATCAGTATATAGTATATAGATTCTCGTATGATAGTACATAAGGGAGAGCCGCCGAAACGAACGCACATATTATGTCCAGAAAGGAAATTGTGAAAATACAGCAGCCTTCTTAAAGGCATATGAGAAATAGTGTATACTATGGT